GGTCAACGACCCTTCTCCGGAAATACTTGTAGACCAACGCGTGACCCTAACGCCGCTTGTGTTAACAAGTTTCTATGTCCTCCCATGCAAATAAAAGGCACCTTAAAATGAACAGACAACCAGTAGTAACGTTCCTTTCTCTACGTACCCAATAAGGCGCTTTCATTTACCCATTGTGGGGTGTGCGATAGACTTACCTCCACGTGGTTCACCCTGGGCAACGTATACTCATACGGCAAAAAGTCTATTTGTGCGCCCTGGGCAACGTATACTCATATGGCAAAAAAGTCTATTACCTACGCCCTGGGCAACGTATACTCATACGGCAAAAAGTCTATTAATATGGCTATTGACTTCTGACTTCAAACTACCATCACCCCATTGTATGGCAGTGACTTCTGACCCCACTGTATGTCATATTCGACTAAGGCAGTTGACTTCTCACTTCAAACTACCACCACCTCATGCACTATGGGCAACGTATACTCATATGGCAAAAAAGTCTATTAACCTGCAGTTGACTTCTGACTTCAAACTACCACGACCCCCAAACTACATGTGATTTCTCACTTCAAACTACCATCACCTCACTCTACGCCATATTCGACTATTTTCACAATACTCACCTTACATTTTTTCTACCTTTGTATTTGTCTCCTACATCTTTGAAACGCTCTTCTGTTCCCCCCCCCTCTCGACTTTATTTCAATTTGATGTTCCTTCCCCTCTGTGAAGCCTGAAGTATCACTTTGATGTTCCTTCCCCTCTGTGAAGCCTGAAGCCTAAAGGGCTAATGATAACCATCAAGACGCCTGCCATTTGCTAAAGGGCTAATGATAACTATCAAAACGCCTGCCGTTTAACCTGTCATTCGAATATAACTATTAAAACGCCTTCCATTTGATATACATAAATAAATTATTGGCTAACTAGTTAACTAACCTGTCTCATATATCAGCTTTGCATCTAAATAAGAGTTACAAGGAATTTGAAAGTGTCCGGCGGAAATAACGGATGGCAGCCAGAAATCTCATCAGTCATCCCTAGTATTCTCCGCGATGACACTTTCTGTCTTCTCTGCGTTAACAGAATAGAGAGAAGTGGATATTGTGCGAGTTTACAGAAAAGTGATGGGAACTTTAGGATACTTGATTAACTAGTTTGGGGCGTGTGATAGACTTACATCCACGTGGTGCACCCTGGGGCAACGCATACTCATACGGCAAAAACTCTATTAAGCGTCAGTTGACTTCTCACTTTAAACTACCATGACCACACTGTATGCCATATTCGAATACTTCCACAGTACCCACCTCACTTATTTCCACCTTATCTACCTTCGCCTTGAAACACTCTTCTGCCCCCCCCCCCCCTAACTCTCGACTTTATTTCAATTTGATGTTCCTTCTCCTCTGTGAGGCCTGAAGTCAACTAAAGGGCTAATGATAACCATCAAAACGCTTGCCATTTGATATAATAATAATTAACTAGTAAGGTCAGAGAACTGCATATGGTTGAATAACGAGGACATATGTCAAACTGAATAGTAAAATTGGGTTGACTCACAAAGGGAATATTTTGATATATTTACAATGAAAATACGCCTTGTAATAAACGTGAAGATATAGTAATGGAAATGTGGATGAATATATTTACTTGAGGAGATTCCGTATGACTTACTCTTCTCACTGGAGTCTATTCCTTATTTCCTGGTTTGATCCGATCTACCACCCTTGACAGGTTAGATCCAAAGAATGATCTTGATCTTGGTAAGATCCCGACTACTGATCGTCTAAGAGTAGTTAGTTCAAGTTAGAAGGAAGGCAGTCCGTGGAATTGATACTTATTTATTTATTTCAAATTGCAGGTGTTTTGATGGTTATCATTAGCCCTTTAATTGGCGTAATACAGCCTACATTTGAAACCGTTTTCTGTATAAGTTTAAAGGCTATATTTAGCATGCTTAGAGTGTTATAAAATATTCGAAAAATTTTTTCTTAACGAGTAATCTGGGACTGTCGCATTTCATAAAATTAAGATCCTTGGGTGGAAATCTATTCAATACAATTAGTCGTTCATAGACACGATCCTCGTTATAAACTAATCTTAATTCACGGCAAATCCTCTTTTAAATAACCTCACACATGGGGTCAAAATGTCATTTTGGACGGAGAGAGATCGCAATATGCGCAACATTCCTAAATGACCCGAATAGTACAACCGAAATTTAACCCAATAGATGACATATAGCAAATTCGT